AAACGTACGCCATCCACTTTAATATCATTTAATACTGTGAGCATTTTATTAATGTTTATTGTCGATATACTAAGTATGTTTTATGCTATTTTAATGTTTTATGGTTTTATGTGAAATCGGCATATTTTGCCGTCTTATGTAAGCCGCCCAGAGCCTGTTTACAGGGTGGGCGGGGTATAAATACGAGTATAAATAAATAAATAAATAAACAAACTGAATGGGATAGCCCGGGATAGCCCGATCTCATCGGATCTCAGAAGCTAAGCAAGGCCGGCCCTGGCTAGTACTTGGGTGTAGAAAAAGCCCAGCAGGAACTCATTAGCATAATAGGCCACACCCAACAGCAGAAACTCATTAGCATATTAGGCCACACCCCCGACAGCACCGCTCATTAGCACATTAGGCCGCACCCCCACGTTACCAGAGGTGTGGTCATCCAGCCACACCCACCTTTTGCTTCTTATTCTGTTTACCTTGTTTGTTGTCAAAACCCAGGGCCTTTTTTATGGAGCAGGGACTCCTTTGCATGTTAGGCCACACACCCCTAATGTAGCCTATCCTAATGAGTTCCTGCTGTTGGGTGTGGCCTGTTATGCTAATGAGTTCCTGCTGGGCGTGGCCAACTTGAGAGTGGGAGACTTCCAAGGAATACCAGGGCAGTGACACAGAGGCAGGCAAGGGCCAGCCACCTCTGAACGCCTCTTGCCTTGAAAACCCCACCAGGGCCACCATACATCAGCTGTGACTTGACATCAGGCAAACGTTGATGGAGGCACCTGTTGAGTTCAGCATTCCCCTTTTTACCGTGGCTTAACCAGATGTTTTTGAGAAACCAACAATCATCCCACGCAAAGGGCACAGCTGCCCCCATTATGAACCCCAAGCAAGCGGCTTTCCGATATGCACAGCCTTTGCCTATGGAAGTCACCCTCCGGCCTTTGACCGCCCACTCCTTCTCCGTTACACCCTCGAATCCTCCCCAAGAGTCTAAGAAACTCACTCTAGCAACCATCAGGGCACGTTTTACTTGACCGACATGTATATGCAGAGAAGGAAATAATACCAAAGAATGCGTGACACGGAAGACATCGTTTCTAGGGACAGATCTTGGTTTCCAAAATACAAAGCAGAGCAATAGAAAGGGCAGGGGTGGCCATTAGGGAGGGTTGGCCCACAACCCACTTAGAATCATAGAATCATTGAGTCAGAAGGGACCTCCAGGGTCATCTAGTCCAGACCACTGCACAATGCAGGAAATTCACAAATACAAATACCTCTCCCCCACACACACACCCCGGTGACCCCTGTTCCGTGCCCAGAAGATGACAAAAAAAAACCCCAAGATCTCCAGCTAAACTGGCCTGGAGAAAAATTGCTTCCTGACCCCCAAAGTGGCGATCGGCATTTCCCTGCGTGTGCAAGAAAGGGCCACGAGAACTAAGCAATGAGGCAACCCTTCCTGCCCTCCCTTCTCGTGATCTGCCCAAGTTCACAGAATCGGCATTGCTGACAGATGGCCATCTGGCCTCTGTTGGAAAACCTCCAAAGAAGGAGAGCCCACCACCTCCCGAGGAAGCCTGTTCCAGTAGGGAACCACTCTAACTGTCAGGCAGTTCTTCCTCATGTTTAGCCAAAAACTCTTTTTGATTTAATTTCAACCTGTTGGATCTGGATCCGACCTTCCTGCAGAAGCTTTGCAACCCACTTTTAAATCCCAACCCAAAGGCTGGGAAACACTCTTTAGATTTAATATGTCGTCAAAGTCTTTCATAGCCGAAGTTCATTACAGCCCGGAAAATCTACAACTAATCTTTAGATTATCTCCACCTACCCATGGGAACTGCCTTGCAGGATCACACCTAAGTTTGGTGATTCCACAGTGTACTCAGGGATTGGGCGATTCAGAAATAATAATAATAATAATAATAATAATGATGATGATGATGATGATGATGATGATGATGAGGCGAGAACAACTATTTATGCCAGGGGTGTCAAACATGCGGCCCAGGGGCCAGATGAGGGCCCCGGAGGGCTTCTATCAGGCCCGCAGTGGAACTGGCTGTCTTCTGCTTCTTCTTCCAGTTCTGCTGCTGCTGCGTCATTGTAGGTTTGCAGCTTACAGATACACACAGCTGAACAGCATACTATTATTATTATTATTATTATTATTCAGCCAGCTTTCTTAACCAACCATTGCTCCACACACCTTTGGGCATCTCTCTGTAACAAGATGGGCTAGAAACTTGCTCCTTTAAAAAATAATAATAATAAAGAATATAACCTCTGATTCTCAGAGAGTTGACTCCTGTGCCTCGTCTGCATTCTGAAAGATTTGTTTGCCCTCCTACAATATGACAATGATGCTCAAAATCCTGAGCCATGCCTGTTTTTTTAGTAGTAGTAGTAGGAGCAGGAGGAGGTGGTGGAGGTGGTTAGCGGTAACTAGGACCAGGGCGTTCTCCCTGGCGGTGCCAACGCTGAGGAACGAGCTCCCTCAGGAGTTCAGAGCCCTACGGGACCTCCAGCAGTTCTGTAGAGCAGAGCTATTCCGCCAAGCGTTTCAATAAGAACTGACTATGCCGGTAGTGTCGCACTAGCACTTTATCACAGGATGTATTCACTGGGATTTTATGGTACTGTATTTATATGTGTTGCTGTGGTGGCTCAAGTGGTTAAGATGCTGAACTGCAGGCTGTGGAAGGTCAGTAGTTCAGCAGTTCGTGACCCGGGTGCCGCATGATGGAGTGAGCTCCCGTCTCTAGTTCCAGCTCCTGCCAACCTAGCAGTTCGAAAGCAAGAGATTGCAAGTAGATAAATAGGTACCACTTCGGTGGGAAGGGAACAGCGTTCCGTGCGCCTTGGTGTTTAGTCATGCCGGCCACATGACCACGGAAACGTCTTCGGACAGCGCTGGCTCTTCGGCTTTGAAACGGAGATGAGCACCGCAACCCTAGAGTCGGACTCGACTGGCTTTCGAGCAAGGGAACCTTTACCTTTACCTATTTATATGTGTAATTGTTGGTTTTAACTGTATGTTGGTTTTAAATGGTTTGTAAGCCACTCTGAGCCGCTTTGGCGGGAGAGCGGGGTAGAAATTTAACAAATAGATAAAATAAAGAAGAAGAGGAGGAGGAGGAGATTAGATTTATACCCCACCCTTCACTCGGCGTCTCAGAGCAGCTTACAAACTCCTTTCCCTTCCCCTCCCCACAACAGACAGCCTGTGAGGCAGGTGGGGCTGAGAGAGTTCTTTCCAGATAGAACAGCTCTGACAGAACTATGGCTTGCCCAAGGTCACCCAGCAGGTGCAAGTGGAGGAGTGGGGAATCAAACCCGGTTCTCCCAGATTAGAGTCCGCGAAACTTAACCACTACACCAAACTGGCTTGGAAGGTCTTCTCAGTGGGTCTGGCCAGTGGCTGCGCAGTCACCATTTGGGATTACACAGAAGCTACAATTTATTTATTTTTCTCTCTGCAAGGCAGTCTCAGTGCGGCTTACAAAAACTATAAAACAACAGGAAATTCATAAAAGCACAGCAGTATAATCGCAAACATAACAAGATATAAAGTGCTAGTACAGCTAATAGTACAATGGCGAACATCAGCAGCATTCCCAGTATGCAGTCAGCTAGAAGTCATAGTCTGGGTTGTGGCAGGCTGTTAATGGTGGTATTAATGTTGATACTGATGTTAATCTTGGGGCCAGGGCCCCCCTTTATGTAGTGCGGCTCCCTAATCGAAGGCCTGGTGGAAGAGCTCCATCTTACAGGCCCTGCGGAACTGTAAAAGGTCCCGCAGGGCCCTGATGTCCTCCGGGAGTTCATTCCACCAGTATGGAGCTGCCACTGAGAAGGCCCTGGCCCTTGCCACAGCCAGCCTGGCTTCTCTGGGGCCCGGAAGGGCCAGATGGTTTTGGGACCCCAATCATAATGCTCTCTGGGGAATATGTGGGGGGGGGGGAATGATGAACGTGAACTCCAAGGGTCATCTAGTCCAACCCCCTGCACAATGTGGGAAATTCACAACTCCCCCCACTCTATGCCCAGATGAAGGGAAGAAACTTTCACGATCTCCGGGCCAACCTGGCCTGGAGAAGGATTGCTTCCTGACCCCAAAGTGGCAACTGGCACTACCCTGGGCATACAAGAAAGGGCCGCAAGAGCTGAGCACTGGCTCGTCCCTTCCCTCCGTCCCTCTCACGCTCTGCCTAAATTCACGGAACCAGCACGGCTGTCGGAGGTCCATCTTGCCTCTGCTTCAACGCCTCCAAAGGAGGAGAGCCCCCCACCTCCCAAGGAAGCCTGCTCCACCGGGGAACCGCCCCAACTGCCAGAAAGTTCTTCCCATGACTTACGGGTCATTTGATTTTGGGATCAGGGTCCCCAGCTCCTTGATTCGGTCATTGATGTTGAATCGCCGCCGACGCTCAACTGCAAAAGGGGGAGGAAAGAAAGAGAATCTTCGATCTCCCTGGGGAGGGGTAAGCAGAATGGCCTGTCTCGATTAAAGTCAGTTCTGTCGCACTCTCTCCTTAAACGTCTCAGCAACCCCATCTCATGTGATCTCAGAACGGCGCTAGAGGGTGGGGCAGATGGAGAAAGAAGGCCGGCTTGGGGAGCTTCATGGCCATGCAGGGAATCCCATCTGCCTGCCACCCACCCACCCACCCAGGGGCAAACATCTGAAAATAGATGCTGTTTAAGTTAGTTAAAGGGATATGCTTGTTTGACAAGGTTGGGATACCAAAATACAGTCGGTTTCAAACAAACAGAAGTGGTTTTTAACGAAGGGAACGATGTTAACGACGTGCTCAGGAATGGAAAAACTGTAAAGGCAAAGGTTCCCTTGCTTGAAAGCCAGTCGAGTCCGACTCTAGGGTTGCGGTGCTCATCTCCGTTTCAAAGCCGAAGAGCCAGCGCTGTCCGAAGACGTTTCCGTGGTCATGTGGCCGGCATGACTAAACACCAAGGCGCACGGAACGCTGTTACCTTCCCACCAAAGTGGTACCTATTTATCTACTTGCAATTTCTTGCTTTC